TTGGTAAATATTTGTGGCATTTAACCCACCTTTCTAAAACACCAATGAGCCCTGGGCAGTTTGGCCCAGTTGATTGCAGCATCATCCCATGAAAAACAGGGTGGCAGGCTGGGTCCCCAGTCCGGGCGTGTAGAGGAGGCAGGCAGTCGATGTTTCTCTCTTTTTCCCCTCCTTCCTCTTTCTCTAAAAAGCAATAATAATAAAGAAGTCCACGGGTGAGGATCAAATGCCTGTGAGTTGAGGCTGCTGAAAGCCCCAGTGCCCCACACTGTCCTCACCTAGAGCCCTGCGTTTGTTTCCTGTGCTGCCGTCACGAAATGCCACCAGCTTGGTGGCTTCAGACAACACCAAGACAAGACAACAGTTCATTCCCTCCCGGTTCTGGAGCTCAGAAGTGGGCTTCACAGGGCTAACGTCAGGGTGTTGGCAGGACTGCGTGCCTCCTACAGACTGGAGAGAAAGATTGCATTTCTTCCCTTTTTCCAGCTTCTAGAAGCTTCCGGCCTTCGCAGGCCCCTGGCCTCTTTATCTTCAAAGCCAGCAGCACAGCATTGTCAGATCTCCCTGGGGTTGTGTCCGTCATGACATCTTCATGCACTCTGATCTGCCTGCATCCCTCTTATAGGGAAGGGTCCCCGAGATTACATTGGAGAAACTGGACGATGTAGGATAGTCACACCTCAAAGCCCTTAACTTGATCACATGTACAGAGTCCTTTCTGAGGGCAAGTTAACGCTCCCAGGTTCGTGGGAGTAGGTAAGGACCTCCTCGGGGTCCATGTCCACATGGTCGGTGCACAGGTGGGTCCTGCTGGCTGTCAGTCAGGTGCTCTTCCCCCAGCCCCGCCTACTCCCAGCTTCAGGTGCGGCAGCAGCACCCTCCCTCCCGGGGAGAGACCGGGAGAGAGTCATCCAAACCTCTGTTTTCCTCGTGGTGACCAGCCTCTGTCCCCGTTTAGAGCTTTCTAGGGTCCCAGTGATAAAAATAACAAGAGTAGCTCTCATTGAAAGTGTCCACACAGCTCTAAGTGCTTTCTGTGTATTGAACTCACTGCCACCTTGGGAGATAGGAATTACTGTCTTACAGATAAGAACACTGAAGCCCTGAGCGGCTGAGTAATGTGTCCAAGGCCACACAGCTTGTAAGCAGCTGTTTGGTCCCAGGTGTCCCTGAAAACAGCCCACGGCAAAGTGTATTCCCTGAGGCTGTGCTGGGAGCTGATCCCAGGGCAGAGAAGTGAGGGCAGAAAAGAAGTGAGGCCACAGGGAGGAGAGCACGTACAAGGCAGTGAGAGTGTTTCTGCCCACTGTTTCACAAGAAAATCCAGGTCTTTGCTCCGCCACATGGGACACCCAGACAGGCCAGTGCTCTGCACTTTGGACAGGTCTTCTGGGGGAGGGACCCAGTGGAGAGTGAGGACAAGGAGGTGGCAGACTCAGATCCTTCCGGTCCGCACCCCTCACCCTCCTGTGCTGAGTTGTTCATCTCATCTTGGATCACAGGAGTTATTTTGCTGTCCTCTTTGCTAAGCTGGTTTCAGTTAGGGGTTTCTGCCCCTTGCAACCAAGACTTCCCATTTTACAGATAAGGAAACTGAGGCTCAGAGAAGTGAGGTGACTTGGCCTGGGTCACATAGCTAATTCAAGAGCCGTTGTGGTCCCAGCTGGTGTGGCTCCGTGGATTGAGTGTTGACCGGCGCCCTAACTGCAAGGTCTCTGATTGGGGAGGTGTGAGAGGCAACCAATCAATGTATCTCTCCCACATTGATGTTTCTCTTCTTTTCTTGCCCGCTCTATAAAAGCAAATAAATAAAATCTTTAAAAAAAAAAAAGAAGAGGAGGAGGAACCATCAAGCCCCATGTCTGCCCTGGGCCATCCAGATCCACGGCTCCCCCGGCCCGGGCCAGGGAGGAAGGTGCCTCCTCGGCAGAGGGCGCTGCCTTCCTCTTTTTTGTCCCAGCTTCCTCCCTGAAAGGGCCACTCCCAGCCCTTGTCCCTGCTCGTTGGAATCCTGTCTGTGCCTACTTTCTTTTTTTTAAATTTTCAGTATAGTTTATCGATTATGCTATTACAGTTGTCCCATTTTCCCGCTTCACTCCCCTCCACCCTGCACACCCCCTCCCACCCACATTCCCCCCTTTAGTGCATGTCCATGTGTCATACTTATAAGTTCTTTAGCTTCTACATTTCCCATACTATTCTTGCCCTCTCCCTGTCTATTTTCTCCCTACCGTTTATGCTACTTATTCTCCATACCTTTTCCCCCTCTCTCCTCCTCCCACTCCCCTGTTGCTAACCCTCCATGTGATCTTCATTTCTGTGGTTCTGTTCCTGTTCTAGTTGTTTGCTTAGTTTGCTTTTCTTTTTGTTTTATGTGTGGTTGTTAATAATTATGAGTTTGCCATCCTTTTACTGTACATGTTTTTTCTTTATTTTCTTTTCTTAGATAAGTCCCTTTAACATTTCATATAATAAGGGCTTGGTGATGATGAACTCCTTTAACTTGACCTTATCTGAGAAGCACTTTATCTGCCCTTCCATTCTAAATGACAGCTTTGCTGGATAGAGCAATCTGGGATGTAGGTCCTTGCCTCTCATGACTTGGAATACTTCTTTCCAGCCCCTTCTTGCCTGTAAGGTCTCTGTTGAGAAATCAGCTGACAGTCTGATGGGAACTCCTTTGTAGGTTACTGTCCCCTTATCTCTTGCTGCTTCTAGGATTCTCTCCTTCATTTTTACCTTGGCTAATGTAATTATGATGTGCCTTGGTGTGTTTCTTCTTGGGTCCAACTTCTTTGGGACTCTCTGAGCTTCCTGGACTTCCTGGAAGTCTATTTCCTTTGCCAGAATGGGGAAGTTCTCCTTTATTATTTGTTCAAATACCTTTTCCACTTGTTGCTCTTCCTCTTCCCCTTCTGGTACCCCTATAATTTGGATGTTGGGACGTTTAAAGATGTCCTGGAGGTTCCTAAGCCTCTCCTCATTTTTTTTTGAATTCTTGTTGCTTCAATCTTTTCTGATTGGATGTTTCATTCTTCCTTCTGGTCCACTCCATTGATTTGAGTCCCAGTTTCCTTCCCATCACTGTTGGTTCCCTGTACATTTCCCTTTATTTCACCTAGCATAGCCATCATTTGTCATCTAATTTGTGATGAAATTCAACCAATTCCGTGAGCATCCCGATCACCAGTGCTTTGAACTGTGCATCTGATAGGTTGGCTATCTCATTGTCACTTAATTGTGTTATTTCTTGGGCTTTGATCTGTTCTTTTGTTTGGGCCTTTTTTTTTGTCTTGACGTACCTCTTACATAGTAAGGGAAAGAGCCTTAGGTGTTCACCAGGGCGGGCAACCCAGTTGCTGGGTTGTGATGCAGTATGTGGGGGTGGGGTCCAAGAGAGAACTATGTCGCTTGCTCTGCTCTCTGCCGGGTTTCAGTCCCTTCTTCTGCTTCCCCCAAGCAAACTGGGCCCTTCTGGTGCTGATTCCCGGGTGGGTGGGTTTGTGTACGTCCCAGGACCCCGTGGGTCTCTCCAACGCACTCGCCTGTGAGGCTGGGAGTCTCTCCCGGAACCTCAACCCACACAGGTGTTTTTCATCAGTGTTTTGAGTCTTTATTTTCCTGCGCTGGGACCCTGGGTTGTGTGGTCTGTCTCGCTCTCCAGTTTTGCCTGGTTTATCTGCACATGAATGTGGGACCCCCAGTACGCCAGCAACCTTGTACGCCAAGCCCCCTCCACAATCCTCCGCCTTGCTGAGTCTACCTCATCCAGACCGGTAGGAGGAGTGGAGTCGAGCGCCCGGGGTCTGCCAGCCGACACTTTGCACTTTTCGGAGAGTCCTCTCCACCTGGCCACCCGACTCCGCCCCTCCTACCGGCCTGGATGAATGTTACTTCTTTAACTCCTTGGTTGTCGGACTTCCATACAGTTCAGTTGTCTGTCAGTACTGGTTCTTCTTTTGTTTCTAAATTGTTATTGTCCTTATTTTGTTTGTGAGAGGAGGCACAGGATGTCTACCTATGCCTCCATCTTAGCTGGAAGTCCCTGTGCCTCCTTTCTTCTGCCCTGCTTGCGGGAGAGCTGTCTGGTGACCTAAACCTCTGAACCTCTGAGTCCCAGGGAGAGGGGTTTGAGCCTCAGAACTCCCTGGGTTCTCTGTGGAGCTGGAGGAAACTCAGCTCTGACTCTGGGACCCAACCTCCACCCCATTCAGTCAGAAAGGGATCCGGGAGGACAGGGCTGCAGCACACCCAGGTGCACTGGGGACCACAGCTGTGGCCGGGAGGCATCCTGTCCTGGGGTCCGGGCGGCGGCAGCAGAGGAAGGTGGTGATTGCCCGGTCCCTGAAAATGTTCCTTGGAAACCTGGGCCAGTGGGAGGTTCTGCAGCCACCAGGGGCCAGCAGAGGCTCGTAGTTGTGCCTTCTCGCTGGCCCTGGACCCGGTGGCCTCCAGCCAGAGCCCCAGGCTGCATTTAAAAACTTTAAAAAAATAAAAATTATGTCTTATGTATGTATGCACACGGTGACAGAAAAGGAGGCCAGAGGTTGATGTTCAAAGTTCACAGCAGTCCTCCTCCGGCCCAGCCCCCAAACACCGTTCTCTTTCCGTCACTGCCTCCATTCCGAATACCTCTCTCCTGAGGGCCTCGCAGTTGTAGAGCAGACGCCTGCCTCTAGACCTCAGCCGACCAGCCGGACAGGATCCCCGTGTGCGGCGATTCAGGTCGACTCCTGTAGCCCCCTCCCCGTCACGGCTCCTGACCTTGACCAGTGCCGTCGCTCCCCTTTCCTCTCCCCCCACGGACGCCCACAGCATCGGGCAGCCCTCAGTGAGGGTGTGAGCGACCCGGTTCCCTCCCGTCCTCCGCCAGCCCTTCCGGAACTTCCTCTTGTGACCAGGGGTGACATTTGCATCCTTTCATGAAAACAAAAATGAACGTTCCCAGCTTTTTCTGTAACAGATTCCAGAAGTGTCCTATGATGAAATGTTAGAGGTGGTACATGGACATTTGAAAAAACAGCTTCACATTCATTTTAATAAACCTTAGGAAATACCTTTGTGCGTATGAGGCAGGAGGTGGTCGGGAAGGAGGAAACTCCGGAGGGGCCCCAGGGCTGAGATAAAGGACATCCGTACTGGACAGAGACCCTGCTCTAAGACCAGCGGTTCCCGGTGTCTGGAAAAGCGCTGAGTCATGGTGAATGGTGACTTCACCTGCACAGATGCGGCGTGACCCGGCTTCATTGTAGCAGCATTGTCATAAATCAGCACCGTGCAACCCCCTTCTCCGGTGGCCAGTCACGGAAAATCGTGGGAGACCGCATGCACAGTAGCTTTAAAGTAATACAACTACTTGTACATGCGCAGTAAAAGCCCACCAAAACTAGCCAGGAAATATCCACCCTATACGAACAGGAACCCTCCAGCCCAGGAGGTCATTCTCTGCTCAGAGTTGGCCCACTTCCATGTCCCGTGGAGTGCACTATTGCTTAATACATCTCTCTCTCTCTCTCTCTATCTCTAACTCTAACTCTATCTCTCTCTGCTAGAAACTCTCTGTGTGTTTAGTTCAATTCTTTGTCCTCGATCACCAGGAACCTGGTTACCTGTGCCCACTTGTGACACGTGTGTGTGTGTGTATATATTATGAGCCCTTCCGTTTGTGGTTTCACGATCTAATTGCTTAGGATGAAGGTAGAGTTGACTTTTGCCTTACGAAGTGAATCGAGGTGAAGAACAGGTTTAAATGATGTACGGTCCCAGAGGTAGGCGTGGCGAAAGTTGTGAAAGGGGGTTCAAAGGTGGATCGGAAAACAGGTGTTGATTGTCAGAGGGCAAGCTGCGGGGCGAGCAGGGATGTGGCTGGGGCGGCTGCGTGGCCGGCTGCGGTGCTTTCCCTCCCAGTGGGCCGGGCCCAGAGACCGCTGTTGACAGTCACGCCGCCTTCCTGCTCGTCCCGTGACTTGTGTTTGCAACTTGTTTCCCGTGGTGTTCCTCGTCACCCTTCCTCCCACTGTTGTTGTCAGCCGGACCGCGTGTCTTCAGGTTCAGTCGCCGTCTGGGTCACACTGCCTGTCCCGTGGAGTCCCCCTTTTTGCCCGGGGGGCTCCCAGGAACCGTTCAGAAAAGGGGCTGCCACAGAGCTCGGTGTGCAGCCTCGGCCGCACTCGTCGGCCACAGGTCATCCCCCTGAGAAAGGCTTACCGAGCGTCTGCTCTGCGCCAGGCAGAGAAGGTCAGAGGAGGAACGGAAGGGACAGACAGATACCCCTGCCTCGCGGGAGTCTGCCTTCCGGGCCAGACAGGTGGGGAGGCACACAGCGCTGGGCGGGAGATGGCGGTGAGGGCGTGGTGCCGGATTGGACGGAGGGTCAGGGAAGGCCTCTCCGACACGGTGGCATCGGGTGACGACAGGGAGGTGAAGGAGAGTCAGCCAGTAGGGGGCATCACCCGTCCAGGCCAAGGGACTGTCCATACTGAGGCCCTGAGCAGAGAGGTGGGACGCAGGCCCGGGTGGCTGGGTGAGGTCACGGCGACTGCAGTCCCGCAGGGGCCTTCCTGCGGCAGGGGCGGGCAAAGTGGACCATGCTCAGGGCGGCAGCTCGCGCCCCCAGCTGATGGAGGGCTCTGCCCTCAGCTCACGCTGTTTTCTGAGTCCCTTCCAGCCCCTCCCATCCTGTTTCAAGGACTCCTCACTCCTCCCAGCCCCACACGCCCTCCTTCTTCTCACTTCTCACCTACTTTCGATCTCCTGTCTTATCTCCAGGGGTGGAAAAACTGGCTCCGTGTGCGCCCTCCCGTTCCAGGCCAGCAGCTTCTGAATCTTTGTTCCTGGAGTCTTTGTTCCTGCTCTCATGTGGACCCACGGGGAACTCGGCCTGCACTGGGCACCAGCGGAGGGTAGGGAGCAGGCAAGTGTGCAGAAACCAGGGTACCCCTCAGCACCTAGTGGTGCCACGAGGAAGCCCTGCCGACCCAACTCTGTGCTGGGTGCTTCCCAGCATTCCTAGCTCCCTCCTCACCAACACCTTCAAGACCCACCCTTGGGTGTCAAAGCTCAGGTGCAGAGGGTGGAGTCCCTTGCCCAAAGTCACTCAGCAAATAATCAGAAGAGGCAAGAGTTGAACCAGGCCTGTGTGGTGCCAGAGGCTGGGGTTCCCACTTCCTGTGGTTCCTCCCTGGTGCGTGCAGGCGTCCTCGAGGGTCTGCAGAAAGCCAGGAGCCCCCCCCTAGAAAATACAGACAGACGGACACGTAGGCACGTGCACATGCCCTGCACATAGCAACACACGTACACTTGTCACACACAGAGACACACAACATGGACATGGGCGTGCATGCACACACCACACACACACACCACACGTTGCCAGTGCCTCAGGCCTGCCGAGGCTCCAGGTAAGGACACCTGTGTCATCCTGTGTCATCCCTGGACTGTCTCTGGACTGTGTACCATGGGCTGGGCCCCACCTTGCCACACTCTGATGGTCCCTGGAGCACATCCGGTTCCAGCCAGCTAGCCTTACCCCCCAGAAGCTCTGCTGGACTCACTGACCCCTTCTGAAGACAAAGGACTCCCCACCAGCATCTCCTGTATGCAGTTATACTGGGCACAGTCATCTGCCCCAGCATGCACGTTTACCCAGAGCCTTGGAATGAAAGCTTATTTGGCATCTGGGTCCTTACAGATGTCGTTGGCCAGATGCGACAGGGGAGGCGGCCCTGCGCAGATGGCGGCAGAAACTGGAGTGGCGCATCCGCAAGCTGAACGTGGGGATTGCCAACCGCCCCCAGCAAAGACCCTTCCCTGGAGCCTTCGGAGGGCTCAGGCCCTGGCGACACTGCGAGGTGGCCCTCCGGCCTCCAGCCCTGAGGGCGTGCACTTCTGTCATTGGGAGCCACCCCCGCCCCCGAGCGCCTGAGGACTGACACTCGGTGAGTCCGGGGCGGACCTCGGCTGCTCAGAGGAAGCCCTCTGTCCTGCCCGCCCCCCGTCGAGTGTGGCTGCCAGCTCATCTGCCACTGCGCTTCCCTGGGGCTGAAGGACAGGCCGCGCTGAGGTGTAGGTGCCCTGGACGGTCCCCTTCCAGGTCCCCTGTATCGTGTGACCTAACTAAAAGCCTGCAATGTCTCCCGGAGGGCAGCACCTGAGGGTCCTCCTCGGGCGTCCAGTCTGCAGCGTGGGCCTGGGGGAGGGGGCCCGAGTGGGTGAAATCCATTCCCGGGCCCTCGTCCAGTGCCCGTGAGGCGAGGCAGCAGAGTGCGGGCAGTGGGGGTGCGGCTTGGTGCTGGGGAGGTTTTCTGGGGACCCAGAAGCCCTGAGCCCATTGGCCAGGCTTCCTGGGAGACCGGGAGTGGATTTGCATCAAAAAGAACACTGGCTTCATTGAAATTCTCCTCCTCGTGAGTGGAACAAAACCACCAAGGAAAGGAAAGTTTTCATTCTGAGCAACTGCACCACTGAGGAGCGTTGTGAGCTTCTAAAAATAGAGAGGAAGCGGCTCTGCGGTAGCCTCTCCCCCTGCCTGGAGCCTGCCCCTGCTGCCCACTCGAGGCCGGCCTCGCACAGCGCGAGACCGAGCCCTCTCTGGCAGGTTCCCGAGGCGGACGGCACACAGTTGTTGGGCTGCATGCAGCCACCCCCCAAGAACCCCAGCATGCCAGATAGCAGAGAGGTCCTGCAGGACGGCCAGCCGGACACGAGTCTGGGGACCACCCAGGAAAACTTGGGGACCGGGTGAGTTGGCATTCGGGTGTCTGTCCACCGAGCGCGAGGCCGGGGCCCGGACTCTGCTGTGTGAACCTGGGCAAACTGCTCTGCTCTCTGAGCCTCAGTTTCTCTGTCTGGGCATGAAGGGAGGGTCTGCACTGAGACGTGTGCCGTGTGGGGCTGCTCCCTGGTGTCCCCCGTCTGTGTGGCCAAGGGAGTGTGACAGAGCGACGACTCACCTGCAGGGGTGAGAGTCGAGCTTCGGCAGGATGGAGGAAGAGTTTTCTAGGCACTAAAGACGCTCCCCATCTCGTCGGGTACGTGGAGTCAATGACAGGCAAGGCCTGGGAGAGCCAAAGGGTCTGCTCTGGTCTGCTGTGTGACCCTTGCAGGTCACCGCCCCTCTCTGGGCTTCAGCCTCCCTGTGTGCCAGAGTGCAGTGGGTCGAGGTTCTCCACCGCCTTTCTACTGTGTGTGTCCTTCTAATCTGCGGTCCAGAGGGAGGAGCCCAGGCCCTGTCCATCCGGGCTGGGGGGACCCTGAGCAGGTGGGACCCACCCCGGTCCCGGAACCCCCCAGCATGTGGAACCCCTGAGCCCAAGAGGGGCACTTGATACAGGCCTTGGACGCCAAGGTTCAAGGGCGGCATCAGTGGGAGAGGTGTGAAAGGGCGTGTGGGTGGAAAGAACAGGGTTGCTGCGGTGAGGAGGCAGTGGGAGGACAGGAAATTCAGGGACGGGAGAGGTCTGGGTGGTGGCGGAGCACAGCACGGTGGAAGGGCCGGCTCTGAGCCCTCTGCAGAGCCAGTGTGTGTGGTGTGTGGCTGTCTCTGACGGGGCGGGGGGTGGAGTGAGGTGGGGGGCAGAAGGTGGGAGGGCGGAGCGTAAGGGAGTTAGTGTGAATGCGCCTCGGCACAGAGCCCTCCACAGCTGGGCAGAGGGCCCAGAGTGGACCCCGGCTTCCAGAAGCAGGGGCTCCTCACCTGCAAGGCCTCCAAGAGCCTGAGGCCCAGCCCCTCACTGGGCAGCGAGTCTGCGGCTGTGGACTGTGCTATCCATCGGGGGTGCCCGTGCAGTGCGTCCGGTGGAGACTCTTGCCTCTGTGGACCTGATGCAGCCCTGGCTGGAGGAAGGGCCCCAGAGGACCTGGAGAAGGGGGCAGTTGGTCCTGGGTGTGGAAGGTGTGAGTGCTCGGGGGCAGGCAGCAGCCGCGTGGACTGAGGGTGTGCTTAAGACGGGGCAGGTTAGGGCCAGGCGGACTCCTGGGTCTGGCTCGGCTGGTGTGGCCAGGTGAGGGGCGCCCAGGCATGGGGATGGCCAGGGCCACAGGAGGGGCGCAGAGGGGCCCCGGGACACGCGGCTGCAGCAGAAGCCTGGGAGAGTCTGCCTGGGGAGGGGAGTCTGGCAGCGGCATGGGGGTGGGCTGGAGGCAGGAGGCCAGAGGAGGGAGCCCGAAGGGTCAAGTCAGGCTCAGGGAAGGGTGGTGAGCAACCGAGCACACCCCACCTGGCGCCCAGCAGCCTCCCCCAGCACTGCCTGCACAAGCCTCGGTGCAGAGAGGGGTCCCCCAGAGCCAGGACTCGTCTGTCAGAGTGTGTCCCGTCATTAAGTGATGCACGACTGCAGTGATGACAGACACAGCCGACTGCCCGCTGCTGTCCTCGGCCCTCACGGAGAGGGCAGTTCCGACCTAGATGGAGCCTCCCACACACCCGGGCCGTCTGGTACAGCCTGCCGCTCCTGGGCTGCCAGCCCGTGCAGAGCATTAGTGCCCAGAACAAGGTGCGACTGAACCGGGCACGGGAGAGGACGACGCCATGAGAGGAAGCGGACAGGAGCTGGGTGAGGCCGCTGCTGGTGTGGCACAGCGCACAGGCTCCCAGCGAAGTCCTTGCACGCTTAGAAAGAGCACACTCTAGAATGTGGTAGAAACTCTGGTGCAGAAACACAGAAACCTGTAGCTCAGTCGTTTGTTGTCACTGGCAACAGGCGTGTGCTGCACACAGTTGTGTCTGCCCTGCTTTCGTGCACCTGGCCGGCCAGCCGGCAGTAGGCTTGTTTGCACCTGCACCATCACGCACGTGTGAGCAAAGCAGGGTGCCGCCTGTTTGGAGGGCTGCAGCGTCGCTGGGTGACAGGAAGTTTTCAGCTCTGCCATGATCTTACGGGGCCACCGTCACACTGAGGTCTGTCCACCGAAACGTCGTGGCTTTATCGTGAATCATCACATGCGTCTCACTTATGCACAAAACTCTTCAAAACACAGTTGAGGGGCAGGTATGCTGAAAGGGTCTGCAGATGAACGGTGGCGGCAGAGCAGCAGAGGATCGTGGGACACCCCCCTCTACACCTCCTTGTTTTCCACCGCTCCCCCCCACCCATCACTCCATAGCCCTGAGACCACGGGGTGCAGCCTGCTGGTTGAGAGCATGAGATGCCCACTCACCTGAGTTTGTACCTCGACTCTGCTGACCCCAAGACCTTGCCTGAGTTACATGACCTCTCTGCACCTCAGTTTCCTTATCTGTGAAGTGGGGACAGTGGCAGCAACAGTGCTGGGCTTTTGTGAGGACTAAACATGTCAGGTGCTGTAGGCAGCAGTGCCGGACCCACAGAAAGTGCTGGGTGCATGGCAGCTGCTGGCCAGCACTAGCATGGTTCCTGCCGTGCTGCTTCCCCTTGCCCCACAGGCCTGGCAGCCTGGTGGCACCCGCCTTAAAGCCTGGCCCTGCCCAGCACAAGCGGGAGGCCAGCCAGGCACCCATTGCAGCCCTGGGGAAGTTGGGAAGCCCTTTGTCTGTGACAGCTGAGGAAACTGAGTCCCACACAGGACCAGGGACTTGCCCACAGCCCCCCGGCTGAGGCAGAGCCTGGCCTACGATCCTGGTGTCTTGGTGCCCAGAGAGTTTCTCCTGGGCACGATCAGACTGCCTGCCGCCTCCTTCCGGGCTTGGAGGCCGCCCTGATGACTGACGCTTGGTCTGTGTGACTCGGCTCCATGGGGTTGGACACTCTGGGCGCTGCCAGCTGGGTCAGCAGTGAGGGGGCCGGTCACATCACTACACCCCCTCGACAGCAGCCAGGGGAAGGCCTTCAGGGCTGAGGCCTTGGGCCAGGGGCTCAGAGAAGGCCAAGGGCCCACTTGGGAGGATATGTCCTCGACCGCGCCCCTCCACTCCAGGAGACCGTGGGTCCCAGAAGTTCCCTGCCTTGGCAAGCCCCGCGTGAGCTGGGTCTCTCTGCCAGGCCCTGGGTCTGCACCCTGCTAAGTAGCCTTCCTTGCTGCCAGTTGCCCGGGGCTCTTGCCCTCTGCCTCGCCTGGAATAATCACATCTTCTCCCTGCCCCAGCCTGGGTCCGGTGCCTCCACAGCGACCTTGAATGCATCCTTGTTTATCGGCTGCCAGTCCTGTCATCTCTGAGCCTTCGAGGCAGAGCCAGGCTCCCCCTGCTCACCTCTGTCCCTGCAGTGTCTGCGCGGAGCCCGTGCTGCGCTGGCGGTCACGGTCGGTCGAGAGGCAGTCAGGGTTCACTTCCAGCTCCGGGAAGGTGGACTTGAGATTGTCACTGCACAGCAGACAACGCTGTGTTAAAGGGCACCACCCAGCACCTGCACACAGTGCTCTGGGAGGGGCTTGGCCGGGCGGCTGCAGGAAGAAGTGCGGGGCTTCCTGCAGGAGGAGGGTCTGCCAGGGCAGGGAGAGGGGAGGTGGCACATTTCCCGAGCCCTTCTGGTCCGGGAATAAGCCCGTTTGCCCGACCTCCTCATCAGTTTGGAAACTGCATCCAGCCTGGCCATCGGGCTGCGGGATGAGGCTGAGCAATTGGGGCACGGGTTCTTGCGAGCCCCCAAATGACCACCATCCTCACCACCCACGTCTCCCCAGGGCCACCTCCCATCGTTGCCACCAGTGCGGGAGGGAGAGCAGAGGACACGCAGGGGCGCCCTGGCTCTGTGGGGTTCGCTGGGCTGGGGTTCGCAGACACGCTTGGGATTCCAAACCTCTGGAACCCGAACCAGCAAAGAGCATCTGGGTGCACCGATGGGGACAGACGGTCTCCCCGCAGGCTTTCAGAGGGACTCGGGCCAGCACCCTAGGCCCAAATGTCAGGGTCTCCTGAGGTGCCATGGGCAAGGATTGCTGGGGAAAGAGGCCTTAAAGGGTCTGGATTCTGGTGGAGGGCAGAATTTTCTGGAGGTTGGCGCGCCGGCTGTGAGCTTAGTGCAGGAATCTGGGGGTCGCCTGCCTTCGGACTGTGTGGAGGGCCTTGGAACAGCTGCGTCCCCACCGCTGCCCGTGTGCCCTGCACCTTGGCCTTCACACGAGCGGGCTGCCTCCCTCTTTCACCTCTTGCAGCCACACTCGCCTCAGAGGCAGTGTGGGGTTCCGGGGTTGGGGTGGCTGGGGGGCAGGGCTCCACGAAACAGGGCCCTGGTCCTGGAAGATGCTGGTGTGATGCTGCGAACCTGCACGCCTCTGCAGTGAGGGAGGAGGTGGAGGGGGCACTAAGGGCAAAGGGCAGGGTGCAGGGATGCCTGTGACCATGGAGCGGGGGCTCTGGGGGCGAGGGTGAGGCGGCTGGCGGGGTTTCACGACGCAAACAGTGGGCACGCTGGCAGCACGTCCTCGGAGTCCAGGTCTCCCTCAGCCCTCGAGAGTCAGGCCCCGGTCTCGCGGGCCGGGCCCCCCCGTGGCGGGGTCTCTCTCACCTCGTGTGGAAAATGGGGCTCTGACCAAGCCCTCGTCAAAGCTGCTGAGAGGCCGCAAGGAGCCAGCGCAGGTGAGGTGCTGGCCTCAGCACGTGCACTCACTCAGTAAGGGAGAGCCAGGAGGGCGAGCTCCCTGCCCGTGGCTCCAGGTGAGTCAGGCTGCCGCAGCGACTGTATCCCTGCGGGTCTGTCCAGGACGACAGCCAGCACTGCACCTCCCCCACCCGCACCGGCAGGTCCCTCTTAGGTAAGTCCCACAGGTGGGCAGTGGGGCCCGTGCCAGGTGGGTCAGAGGTGTCTAGGGCCACACCTCGAAGGCAGCCCCAGGCAGACTGGGCTGGGTCCCCATTCGTGCCCAGCCCACTGTCTCATTACCTGGAGCCCAGGGCACCGGCGGTGCGGCTCCCACACTCACGGAGCCTCCGCTGAGCCCACACGGGATGTGGAGCTCCGAGCCTGCCGGCCCCCAGGAGGAGGCAGGTGAGCCCCGCCACAGCCAGGCCCTCCTGGCGTGCCCTCGGGAGTCCTCTGTGGGGTCGTCAGGCGGGTGGGGCTGTCTTCGAGGTGACGCAGGTGTGCAGACGAAGAGAAGTGAAGGGCGGTGGGCGCAGGCAGGGGCCTGGGGAGGCCGTGTGAGGGCGGCTCACAGCCTTGGTGGCCGCAGCTGGGAGCGCGGAGGGCCCACTCTCCTCCCGCGCGGGGTTCTCGGGACTTGGGGAGCGGGCCACATTCTCCTCAGGGAGCGCTCTCTGTGGTCCTGGAAGACGGGCCTCCCTCCTTCGGCCCCAAACACAGACATGGGGACTGGAAGCAGTGACAGGAGGGCAGGGGCTGTGGACCGGCCCTGGGGACGGGGAGCCAGGAGCCCGGAGGCAGCACCGTGGTCAGGACCGTGTGGGCTCGGGAGGGAGCAGATGACAGTCGGGTGCTCGGCCCGGTGAGTCACGGCCAGGAAGGCGGGCGACAGCCCTGGCCTAGCCCGGCCGTGACTCATGCTGTGTCTCTCTTGCAGGGCAGTTTGGTGGCACGGGGCCTCTCTGGGGCTGACGCTGCCCCCCTGGGGGACACCAGATCACGTTCCCTGAGGCTCACTCCTGGGTGAGCCTGCGGGGCACGGCCACCCCTCGGGGACCATGCCGGAGGCGCTCCTGCTCAGGTCTGCCAGCTCTGTCCTGAGGACCGTGTAAGGAACAAGAGCCCCCGGCCCCTCGCTGCCACTCGGGGGTGTACCTGGGCCCGGCATGGCCCCTGAACCCGCAGGGGTGGGTTTGGGGCGTTTCCACCCACTCGGTCACCCTGCTGATCTCACCAGAGAGCCTTCCGCTGCTTACTGCCCCAAAGATCCCTGGGAGCCCACCAGTGGTGACCACGAGAGCTGACTGCATCCTGGGCGGTTTTCACGTGTCACACTGCCCTCCCGGCAGCCATAGGATGGAGGCAGAATGTGGTGGCCCAGAGACGCACAGCGACTTGTCCACAGGCCCCCAGCCAGTAAAGCCAGTCGAACCCAGGCAAGCCGACTCTGGCGATCCTCAGTGCTGTGCTGTTCCAGGAAAGCAGTTACTGAGCACCGACTGCGGACAGAGCAGTGGCCTGGCTGCTGAGGGCTGAGTGGGAAGAAAGGGCGGCAGAAGTAAACAGCAGGTGGATGCTCCTCCACGAGGGGCTCACGTGGGGAGAGAGGGCTCCCTTCGACATGCGAGCGTCACACACAGGGAGAACTTGAGAGGGATTCGGTCTGGCCGGCGTTGGCTGATCCCCACGGCGCACCTCAGTGGTGCTCGGGGCCGGGGGACAGCGTGGAGTCAGGCGTGGGCCTGCTGTCAGGGAGCCCCCCAAGCCACAGGGGCCTTCAAGGGCCACACCTGAGTTGAGAGCACGAGAGGGTGCTGGGGGTAGCCTAGGAGGGCTCGCTGACGCAGGGGCCGAAGGAGGCTTGGCAGGCTGTGTCTTCATGCGGTCCCGGCCGCTCCTCTGGCCGGAAGGGCTGCAGGCAGGAGAGGCCCCTGGGCCAGAGGAAGGGAGGGAGCGGGCTGTCCCAGACTCCTCCGCCTCCCCCACCCCTCCCCGTGTCTGCACTCAGATGTGCCCTGGGAGTGTCGTCTCGCTCCCTGTGCTGCTGGGCAGGTGCTCGAGACGTGCTGTTTCTGTGAGCAGGGGGTGAGGCTCGGCGCTCCCAGCGAGTGAGTGAGCGGGCGCGAGCGCACCCCTGTCCTCGGCCAGCCGATCCTTTCCGGACCTCCCGCCTACGGAATGGGAGAGCGGACACGGGCACAGCAGCCTCCCCAGCCGTTTCCCCTGCACTGCGGGCTCCCTGCGGCCCCAGGATGGCACCCAGGCCCGCAGCCCTGCATTCAGAGGAGCCTGCTTGTCCGGGGTGGCAGGCACCCTGCGTGCTTCACCGTGGATGGTCTCAGGGTCTCGACGGCAGGAGTCACACCTCGCCTGTTGGGACGTTGTCCCTGCCACTGGGCCTCCCAGGGTAGCAGCAGGAACCGGGGAGGCCCCCAGTGCTCTCGGGGAGTCAGAATAGTAGAGACTGCTCCCCAGCAGTCCGCCAGGCTTGGTCGTCCCACGCAGTTACCTCATCTCCTGGTCAGCTGCAGGGGAGGGGACGCTGGGTCGCTGCAGGCCAGCCCACTGGCCGTGGGGGGAGCTGGCCGCCAGCGATGCCAGAGGGGCTTGAAACACCGGAACTCCCCACAGCATTGCCCGCGGTGACGTGCAGGCGGCAGCCACGCTGGGGAGGGCGCACGGGGTCATGAGGCGGGACAGTGTGGGCCGTGACAGACGTGACCCTGGGTGGGCGGGAGGAGTCACAGGGAGGCTCGTCGACCTCCGTTTCGGGTGACGAGCAGGGTCATGTCCCACGGCAGGGGCTCGGTCCGAAAGGTTCCAGCGAGGGCAAGGCCACCCTTCCCCCACCCGGGCAGTTGGGTGTGGGCCAGGCAGAGGGGCTGGAGAGCACCCTCCGTGGGCCGTCCACGAGGGTAAGTGAGGTGTTCCTGTCACGAGGAGGACAGGCGGGGGGCCGGGATCCACGCTGCCACTGAGGGAGGAAAAGGACTGGCTGGGGAGTGGACGAGAGCAGTGTCTGAGCTGCAAGAGAGGGCTGCCAGACGCCCGGGGACGGCCTCTCGGGGAGAGGGCAGCCCCTCCTCCCCATAAACAGAGGGCTCGCATCACGATGAGGGTGGACGCCGGGCCTCAGCTTCCTTAGCGGCCATCTTTTTGTTCAGTCTTTGGTCGACTGTTTTAAAACTAGAACCAGTTTACACAGTTTATTAGGTGGAAGAAATGCCGCCCGTCCCTTTTGATGGTGAGGATTCAAAAATAGACTTGTTTGTGAGGAAGCAGGGAGGAAGACGGGTGATTACAGCGAGGGCCAGCCTCCACTAATTTAGGGGTGGCTGCCCAGCTGCTGGTGGCAAAGGCCGGTCAGCTCTACACCCTCAGCTGCCCTGCGGCCAGCCCTCCTGTCTCCTGAGGATGGCCCGAGACACAGCACGACCTTGTACCAGCGTGGGACCTCCAGCCAGCTGTGCCCGTGTTGTGGCATCCCCCCCCTCCCCCCCCGTGACTATCTGAGCCCAGAGCTCAGGGGCTCTTGGGTAACATTATAGTCTTCTTCATCCCAAAGTGGAGGTGGTTTCTGCTCGACAGCCCAGGAGAGGATCGGCGGTGCCAGCGGCCAGCGTCAGCAGGACATGTTCTGCGGCGTTCAGAGCCTTCCGTTTCCCCGGCCTGGCACAGTGGGCCTCGCCGCAGAAGCACACTTTGTCTTCTTTACACCCTTCCGGCAGCATGCCCTCCACAGGTCACCACAGCAACGGTCACCGTAGCAACAGAAGGGCAGCTGAGGCCAGGCCTTGCTCACCAAGTTCCCAAAAGGGGATAGCTCAGCCCCCCACTCATCCCCCTTGTCTCCATCCCTCTCTTTTCATAACCTCCCGATGTCTTTTGCTTTAAAACCTATCTCAGGTTCTTAAGCAGACTGCCACCAGGTGGGCCCAGGTGTATTTGCAAATTTAGTTTGAACCCGTGGTACCTGCAAGGAGGGAGGCCGACTCTCAGAAGCAGGTAACTGGCCGAGCTGTCGGGAACTGGGCCCCCGACAGACACGGGCCCTCAGGGCCGCCCTGACTGGCCACACAGGTTGCTCCCCACGCCACTCTGGTGGGCTGTTTGCAGAGCTGGCGGCTGGAAAGGGTCCCCTCGGCTGTGTGGCGCTGCCTCCCTGCTCGGGTGTGCTGGGCGTGCTGGCCTCCGTCTGCTCACCCACCTGAGGCGGGTCTTCCCCGGTGTGGTGCCGAGGCACGGGGACCTGAGTTGGTAGTGGAGGCCCAGTAACCAAACCACCAGGGCTGGGCTGGCTGGAAGGGGAGTCTGGGGCCGCCACACCTGGGAGGCAAGGGGGGTCTGGGCCGGGCACGAGGGCACGAGGGGTGAGCCCCAGGCCTCCCCGGTCCCATGCTATTCTCCATGTGGGTGACTAGACAGAGGGCCCACCCACAGGCACCACCAAAGAGGAGAGGTCCTTGCTGGGCCTGCTCAGGACCTGGGAGACCCTGGGAACGCCCTCACTCCACTCTGGGTGTCTGAATGTGGCTGTTCTCAGTGCCTGTGGGGAGTGAGGGGTTGGGGCTCCTCTGAAAGCCTGCACTCGCCTGGGGTGGCGCCCAGCATCCTCTAGTGCCAGTCCAGGGGTTGCCTTTCCACACGGGGATACCGAGCCCAGAGAGAGCCGTGCACTTGCCCAGAGTCAAACAGCAGAGTCGAGTGGAGCCGGGCGTGGTTTCTCTCTCTGCCGAGCCCTTAGAGCCTGCAGGGAGAGGTGGGCTGGGGTGGCGGGATGTGGTCAGCCCCTGCAGGCGTCTGGTCGCCTGACCCCCGCTGGCCGGGACAGAGGCCAGGACCGAGGTGCTCGTCCGCCGTGTCCTGACCATCGTTTCTCCTCCCTGCCAGCTCTCTGACTGGTGGGCACACACTCTCCAAAGAGCCCCTAAGCCACGCTCTCGACTTCCCGTCCCCAGAGAAGGCAAAGGATGCTCCACCCAGCTCTCCAGGTAAGCCAGCCAGGAGCCTGGGCCAGGTGAGGTGCCAGCTGGACTGCAGAACCGGCCAGTGCAGGGGGCAGATGAAAGTCCAGGCGGAAGCAAGTAGGGCGGGAGCCGCAGGGCAGAACTTGGAGGGCAGGGCAGGTGGGATCGCCAGCACCAGCAGGGCCCCGTGTGACGCAAGGGGGTGGGGGGAGACTTTTTCTTGTGGAAGTTCGGGAAGGGCACAGGCAGAGACAGGGGCCTTCATGCTGCCCTTGGAGCAGCGGGGTGAGGGACAGGCCTGCCGGCCGCAGCTGGCAGGCTGACCGGGTCACAGGTCCCTTCGTGACCTTCCCGGTCAGGCAGTCGCACCTCATTCGTTTTCATCGGCTGCTGCCCGGCGTTGTGGCGGCAGCAGAAGTGCAGGAGGATGGACACGGCGGCAGCAGAAGGTCATGGCCTCTGTGCTCCGTGCTGTCCTTGGGACGGAGCCTTGCTGCTGCCCATTCACCCGCCCAGATCACCAGTTGGGGGCGAAGGGCTTCCCCCAGAGGCTGAGTTCTGGCTGCGAATCCTCCCAGCTGTAGGCTGCTCCGGGCGGCGGGGCGAGGTTTGGTGGGGGCTGTCGGTGGCAGAGGTGGAACTGGCCGTGTGCCTTGCATGCTGTCCTGCAGTTTGCACGTGCCCGGCCTGTCTCTTGTGGTTAGACGGGCCTGGGTTCGGGGCCGTGGGGGACGCCCTCGAAGTGGGACCTGCCAGGCGTCTCTGCACGGGGCAGGGACAAGGCCAGAACCAGGGCACACCAGGGGGTCTCAGCGTGGCCTTGGCAGGGAGCCGGCCTGGGGTGTGCCCTTCCCAGGTGTGGCCACTGCCTGTCATGCTTGTCCCCAGAGATAGAGAAGGAACCGGGCCAAGGAGAGGTCAGGCTGGTGTCTGCGGGAGGGGTCTCCTGTGTCCTCTTCCCAGGGCCAGGGCACCTGATGGCGGGCCAGGTCACCCCGGGAGGTCCGTCTGCGGGCCCAGGCCCCATTTCCGCAGGCTGGCTGGTGGTTCCTTCACTGCAGTGCTCGAAGGGCAGCTGGGTGTGCGGCGAGGCCCTGGTGCCCGGGGAGTCCTGCCTGTGGTGGCGGGACTCGAGGGGCAGGTGGGGAGCCAGTGTGGGGACAGCCCCCGGTATCCCTGGAGCCCCAGGAAAGCATGCGTGTCCCCAAGCCCGTGCCTGGGGACAAGTTATCCCAGCCCTGTGGCCTCAGTAGCTCTGCAAGCTACTGAGCTTGTGTCCCTGCGGCCATGGGTGCTGGGAACAGCAGGTCCCACTGGGGGCTGGCATGGGGCAAGGGAGGCACAGGCTCTGGACCCGGGGGCAGGGTGGGGAGCCTCTGTCAGGCAGGGGAAGGCCATTCTGGCTCATGGGGACCCTGGGAAGCTGGCTGGGCAGCCCGCTGAGCATGCACCGGTGCCTCCCTCCAGGGGCAGAGCCAGGCTACTGGGGGCTGAGCTGCACAAGCTTCTCTCCGCCATCCAGGAGCTCCCCTCTGAGGGTGGACGGGCCCAGGTGTGGGGCACCTGCAGACTGAGGGAGGGAGGCCTGCTGCCCGGGACCTGAGTGGCAAGGGCAGGCTTCCCAGAACAGGAGGACCCCCCTCTGGGCTGGGTCTCTGATGCCGAGGGGTCTGCCCCTGGGAGCTCAGTGTCTGGGGTTGGTGGTGAGGAGGCAAGAACAGTCTGAGGGGCTGAGGAGGCTTCTCGACACCACTGCTGTCAGCAGGTGCCCAGGACAGACGCCCCAGGAGACCCCGGCCCCACCCAGGCAACACCAGGCGGCCTCGCCGGCTCCCTCAGGCCTGGTGTGCGGGTCCAGCGCCACCGCAGCCCCCGGCATGTCTGGGTGCGGCTGCGGTGGCGCCCAGAGTCAGCACGCCTGAGAGCCTGCCTCTCGCCAGCCTCGGAGTCCCTCGTCTCCACGACCCCTCTGCCGCTTCAGGGGCCCCTCGGGGCTCTGCACTGGGGGGAAACTGGAGCAGCCATACCTGGGGGCCTTGAAGCGGCCCTTCCACAGGGCACGTTGCAGGGGCGTGAGAAGAGGCAGCTCTCTCTGCAGCAGAGACTGGGGGGACATTTGGGGATTGTGAGTGAGGCCAAGCCCTCCTCCCCTCACAGCTGCCCCCTTCTCGACGAGAGCACAGACCAGACCGTGTGCCCAGCCCAGAGGGACTGACTTGCGTTCCTTCCTTTTATCTTCATGGCAGCAGCGGGGTGGGCACTTGCTCGTTCTCATCTGACTGGGGGAACCGAGCACAGAGAGGGCCAGCGATTTTCTCAGGGACCCACAGCCCACGGAGGTAGATCTCTGACTGGGCACGCCGCATCTGGGGGACCTAGATAACGCGGAGCACAGCGGGGTCCCCCGGGCCTTGCCACCCAACTGCTGAGCTGGCAGCCTCTCTGGGAGCTCTTGGAGCCTTGCCTTCAGGAACTCAGATTCGCCTCAGTCTCCCCGAGTTCCCAAGGAGCTTGAGGGTCCTCGAGCCCCAGTCCCCAGATGCATTCCCAGGGGGCAGCCCGCCTGAGTCGGGCCGCAGAGCTGCCAGAACCTGACCTCCACACAAAGGCAGCCTTGTGCTGGCCCTGGAGACACATTGCTTCCTAGACCTTTGCAGGCTGAGCGTGAACCCTGGCCGGAATGAGAGGGGAGGGGGTCTGGCAGAGCAGCTGCTGGGGCTGGGCTGGGGCTGGGGCTGGGCTGGTGGAAGTCTGGTGAGGGCCTTTTCCACCCCCACTTTTCTAGATAATGCCCACACCCGCTGGGAACTCGGCCCAGCTTGGTCTCCAGCCCAGTGAGGCTGAGGGATGCACGGGGCCAGCCTTTGTCCCTTGCCTCTGCCCTTTCCCTGGCACAACAGGCAGTCGATGAGACACAGGCCAGGGTCAGGCCAAGACCGGGGGCAACAGGACTGCAAGCAGGGAGGGAGAGGGAGGGGCAGAAAGTGCACGCGGGGCCTTGGGAAAGCCCCCCACCCCACTTCCCTTGCTGCAGCTCCCGTGCCCAGGCTGAGGCCCCTGAGGACTCTGAGCATTGGGCTGTAGGGGGCCCAGGCCAGCAGGGCGGGCCCTTACCAGGCCTGCCTGGGGCTCTCAGGCATGCCGGGAGTGGGTATTGGGGGAGGGGAAGGCCCGGGACCCTGGACACATGGTCATTCATTCGGGTTAGCCCTCCCAAGACTGGGGTGGGACAGAGGCTCTCTTGTCCTCCCCCGGGGGTGCCCTGACCTCTGCTCGCAGGACTGCGCAGCCATGGGCCCCGCCTTCCAGGGTCAGCAGCCTGGGGGGAGTTGGTTAACAGGACGGAAGTTACATGAAGGAACTCTGTCCAGAGGTCTATCAGAATTGTACAGGGTTTTTCTCCTGGTCCAGTTAGCCCATTATAGAAACCTGTCCTGTGGGGAAGTCGGGGACCTGGGCTGCGCGTCAGTGGGGAGGTGGCTGAGGAAAGTGTGAGGTGGCCAGACAGTGGGGTGCTGTGCCCCCGCATCCCCCGTGAGAGAGACCGCCCTGTCTCGAGGTCACAGGTGGGGATTGGCTCATGGCTGTGTTTGCTTTGGCCCACAAAGTATTTTTTCCAAGTGTGAGCCAACATTTAAAAATCAGGTAACTACACATCAACACCCACCTTGCAGGTAACTCTTGTTTCCTTTCCAACTGGGTGCTGAGTCCTAATGTGACGGCCGCCCCCGTGGACGTGCATGTGCTGTCCTTCCCGTGGTGCCCGCCGGGCCCTGCTGCCCCCACAGTGAGGGCCGGCCTGGGCGCGGGGCCTCATCCTGGTCAGAGGCGGGGACATGAGAGCAGCCGGAGGCCTGCGCCACTGGGGTTCGCCCACACGTCCCAGGTCGCCTCCTCCATTCATTATTGACGATCCTACATTATTTATCTCGATGTGGGTACATTACTCACCTGGCCCCCAAGGGCATGTGGGGTTTGCTCTTCTCAATTAATATGGTAGTAACACGATCCTTTTCCCACCTTTGGGTAAAAAATTACAGCAACCAAGTAAAACCTATCCCCTCGTACCGGCGTTTCTGTGACGCGGCGCCCACATGGCAGTGTCAGTGTGCTGACCTGGCAGGGCCCGGCGGGGCCTCCCCTGTTCCTACCGCGTGCTTCTAGGTTACTTCGGGCCTTTTAGAACAAGTACTGTGTTGTGATCTTTAAGAAAAGGTGGTCAGTGCCGCAGGTAAAACCTGTGGCTGAGAAAGGGCTTAGTGACAGGTCGCAGCACTTCCCTCTGACCCTGGCCCCTGGCGAAGGGGAAGGGCCCCATGCCCCGCCCTGTCCCCGCTCTCCCTTCCCGCCCTTCCCTTCGGGGCTGTCAGCCCTCCTCCAGCCGCCTCCCACCTGTCCCAGCCCCTGGCCTGTCTGCCTTGTTGGGACCACAGGGCCCGCATCCCTGCCCAGGGGAGGAGCAGGGGTGGCGGGGTCGGCCCTGAGCCAGCCTGGCCCCAGCTGTGCTCTCCCCACCTGCAGAGGAGACGCTGTGGACCACCCGGGCAGACGGGCGGGTCCGCCTGCGCATTGACCCTGGCTGCCCTCAGGCCTCCCAAACCGTGCACCAGATGTTCCTCCAGGCCAGGGACAAGTACGGGCACCTCCGTGCTCTGGGCTTCAAGCGCCGGGGCTCGTGGGAGCACATCACGTACTCCCAGTACTACCTGCTGGCCCGAAAGGCCGCCAGAGGCTTCCTGAAGGTGAGCAGCCCTTGGGGCCAGCCCCTCCCCACCCCAGGCCCGCCTGCCGGGCACTCTCACAGGCCCCCACCCCCATTTGTGATCGTGTGCAAACCTAGGTGGACTGGGAAGCCGGACGCTGACCTGCAGAGGCCCTGGGGGGAGGGGGGAGCAAGAGCTGCTGGGTGACGGACCCCCAGGACCTTCTTGGACTGAGTGGGCCCCCGGGAGGGGCTCCGAGGTCTGGGAGGGGCCTTGATGGGAATGGGAGGCCCAATTCCCTGTCCGCTTACCTGGCCCGTCTCTCTGGCTACAGCTCGGCCTGGAGCCGGCGCACAGTGTGGCCATCCTCGGTTTCAACTCCCTCGAGTGGTTCCTCTCGGCAGTGGGCACTGTGTTTGCAGGGTGAGCGCCGGGGCCGGCCAGGGTCTGGGGGGTAGTGTGCAGGGAGTAGAGAGAGGCCCCACCATCCCCCACATCCCACCTCTTCCCTGAGACCCTGTGCAGAGCTGCTGGGGGAGCCCGGCCTGCTGGGGGTGGGGGCGGTGAGGGGCTCTCTGGGGCTGGCCTGAGGGGCGGGGTGGCCAGCTGCAACTGCCTGACCCCAAGCCTGGGCCCCTGCAGAGGCATCGTCACCGGCATCTACACGACCAGCTCCCCTGAGGCCTGCCAGTACATTGCCCTCGACTGCCGCGCCAATGTCATCGTGGTCGACACGCAGAAGCAGCTGGAGAAGATCTTGAAGGTCTGGGGGGGACTGCGGGGGTTAAGGTTGGGTGTCCCTGGGGACTTCCAGCTCGCAAAGGACTCCTCCACCTGTGGGCAGAGCCCTGTTCGTCCGCCACAACCCCTGTGCACGCACAGGTCACGGCACCGAGGTCCAGAAGGTCCCAGGGACAGGCCCCGTGTCACTCCAGAAGCGGGTGACCAGGCCTGGGCTGAACTCTCAGCCACCCTGCTGCCTCCTGTGACTTACTCAGGGCCAGGCTTCCTGCGGGGCCAGGGACCTGTGCGGGGGGAGGACCGGCTGCCCCGAGGTGGTGGGGGCCGCAGGGCAGGCTGTCAGGACAGAGCACACCTGTGGAGCCAGCTGGGTCTTCCCTAGAGGGCTGATGCCACCTCATTCACGTGAGGCCCCGTCCCCATGTGCACCACACAGGCATGCAGTGGCCTGGGGACACCTTGGTGTCTGGATGGGCCAGCTGCGTGCGGGGGGCTCCCCGCGGCCGGTCCGCCTGCCCACAGTTCCCGACGCACAGGCTGGCTCCGATCCTCACGCGCTCCCTCTTGGATGCCGCTGGCGTCAGTGTGGGAGCCGCAGGCACTGCGGACCTGCCTTCTCTTCCTGCCAAGGGCTCATCAAACGGGCTCCCTGTACCGGCGAGGGGACTGTCCCTCTGCTTGGGGATCCTGGTCCCTCTGCACCCTTTTGGGACCCTGTGATTTCAGGATCTCCATTCTGAGTGTCTCCATGTGTCTGACTTGGACCAGTGCTTGGGAGGGGGAGAGGAGGTGTGGGTGTGGATGGTTCAGCCCAGGGTGAACTGCCCTTCTCACCCTCCCCACCCCATGCACCAGGCCCTTCACGAAACCGGTGGGGGACAGGTTCTCCGGCGAGTGCCAGGTTCCTGGCTACCAGCTGTCCTAGAGCTCAGTGGGGCCCTGGTTCCCTCAGGAGTTGTGGCTCTGGGGGCCCCAGAGGCCCCTGCCATGAGCCGACCCCCTTCTCCAGCTTTCCGGCAGGTTCTGGTGGGGAGGGCTGGGCACTTCCGGAGCCCCCGGGAGGCTTTGCCTTGCCCCCTAGGGAGAGACCTCCTCCTCATAAATGCAGATCGAGTCCACATGCCCATCCCAGCACCACTTGCAACAGAAGAAGCAGGCCCACAGTTAGGAAACGTCCACTCTGGGCAACTGCCCAAGTTACGCTCATCAGGAAAGTTCCCAAACGCCAATTGGAGCGTCCTGTGGACCCCACCGGTCTGTCACCCCAATCCAGCAATCGTCAGAGGTGTGTCACCGCTCATCGCACTGATTCGTTCGCCTTTTGTGCTGAAATATTCGAAGGCAAATCTCACGTTGTCGTTGCCACCCCTGAAAATTTCAACGTGCATCTCTAAAAAAAGAAAAGGACACGTTTTAAAAAGTAATCATAGCAACTTTGTCACATTTAACACGAGTAAAACAGGCCCCTCACATCCGGTCCCCGCAGTGAATCTTCGCGGCCGGGTCGGTTCTGCTGAGCCGGGGTCCAGGCCCTGCGTGTGGCAGCCTCCGTTCGGATCAGAGCCACCGGCCCCCCAGCCCCGACCAGCGAGGCCCCACGCGAGAGAGGCCCACTGCCTCAGAGCTCGGAGTGGGCCCCCCACCACACCTGCTGCCTTCAGCATGCGCGCCGGTGAGCTAGCTGACCCGGCTCCCGTGTCAGAGCCTCCGGAGTCTGGGTCAGCCCTGCCGGACGGACGGACGGACGGACGGACGGCCTCGCACAGCTGCCTGCTGGCTTGTTCCTCTACCTCACACTTGCAGAGTGAACATTGTGGGGCGAGAACACCCAGCAGGGGGCGCTGCTGGCCTCATTTCGCAGCACTCACTAGGCAGGGGCCCTCAGGTGGGGACCACCTGTAGAGGTGCTGTAGGTGGCCGTGAGCTCATCCATTGTGACATTCCCATCGACCTTTCTCCACTTGTTATCTTTACCTGGGGGAGGCCAGTGACCTTTCCCACAGTGTCTGCCAGGTGGACTGACACCCAGAGATGGGGCTCTTCTCCAGAGGGGACTATTTTTAATGGAACTCCATCTCTTCTTCCTGCCAACACAGATCCGGACAAGCCTGCCCCACCTGAAGGCAGTAGTGACCTACCGAGAACCCCCTGCGGAGAAGGTGGCCGGCGTGTACACGGTACGGGCAGAGGGCCTGGGCGCCTGGCGGGGCCTGTCTGGGCCTGTGCCGCTGACCCAGACGGCCTGCTCTCGCCCTCCGGCTGCAGATGGAGGAGCTCATGGAGCTGGGGGAGCAGGTGCCCGAGGAGGACCTGGACGCCGTCATCAACGCCCAGCAGCCCAGCCAGTGCTGCGTGCTCATCTACACGTCCGGCACCACCGGCAGCCCCAAGGGCGTGATGCTGAGTCAGGACAACGTAGGGCCGGCGCCGCGTCTTGGGTGGGATGGGCTGGGCTGCCCCGGACCTGGGCGGTGGCCCCCAGCAACCCCAGGGAGGCCCCTCTGACCCGCAGCTCGGGGAGCAGGGATGCATGGGGCTCTCTCCCATCGGTGGTCCAGACCAAACCCAGCAGAGGAGGGGACCTGTCCCTGGGGTTTGCTGCAGGGAGGACAGACAGCCCAGGGGTGACCCAAAGAGATAGCCCACGCCCCCAGGTACCTACACTTGTGCGCACTTCCAGGTCTGGCGGGTGGACTCTGCCAGGCCGCCCGCTCTTCCTCCAGATCACGTGGACAGCACGGTACGGCAGCCAGGCCGGAGGCATCCAGCCATCAGCGGTGCAGCCGGAGGTGGTGGTCAGCTACCTGCCCCTCAGCCACATCGCCGCCCAGATCTACGACCTGTGGACGGGCCCCCAGTGGGGGGCCCAGGTCTGCTTTGCCGAGCCCGACGCCCTACAGGTCAGCCTGCCCCGTGCCCGGGTGGGTGTCCGAGCGTGTGCCAGGGCCCTGGGCGTGCACGAGGGACGGCCCCAGCTGCCGGGTGCCTGCCAGTCAGCATTGTCCCCGGTGCGTCGGCACAGCCCTCGGCGGCCGCGCGAGAAGGGAGCTGATGGCACTGCCTGAAGGAAAGTCGGGTGGGAGTCCTTCTGGGGGGCCCAGCACCGTCGAGGACGGGTCGTCCTCGGAGGAAGGTCACGGATGGTCGCAGATGGCCACCGCCTGCCCTGCACCTGCCGTAGCAGCTGCACCTGTTCTTTGGATCCTTGTTTTAGCCATAAGGACTTTCTCAGAAGTGCCCCGCACCCACCCGCAGTTGACTTGTGCCCATCTGGCATCTCATTAGCTCAAATGGAGTCACACGTCCACCCCTAATCCAGTCACTGCTTAGAGGGATGGGAAGTCGCCTTGAGTTAGCTGAGGAGGAGTTACCACACAGGACTTAGGAAGTGGCAGAACTACACCAGGGTCCTGTGGGCAGAAGAGAGTAGTGAGCAGATGGTTGCTGAGTTGCAGCCGACAGCACACCTGTGTGCAGGATGCCTGTGGTGTGTGCAGGGTGACCCTGGTGACAGGGCCTCCTGCCCCTGCTGGCCCTGAACCAGGAGGCCTCTCTCCCTCTGGCGGCGAGCAGGGGAGCCTGGTGGACTCGCTGCGGGAGGTGGAGCCCACGTCGCACATGGGGGTGCCTCGGGTGTGGGAGAAGACCATGGAGCGCATCCAGGAGGCGGTGGCTCAGTCTGGCTTCATCCGGCGCAAGATGCTCCTGTGGGCAATGTCAGTGATGTTGGAGCAGAACCTCACCTGCCCGGGCAGGTACAGAGGGCTGGGTCACACCCCAGTCTGCAGCCGAGGACCTGCCAGGGCAGGCCTCTCTGGGCCCGGAGCCTGTGCAGGGGCGCCGGTGGTGGCTGGGCTGGAGCCCCCGTCCTCTCCCCAGGCCCCATGGGACTCTCTGGGTTCTGTGAGGACTGACTCGCTGCCCCAGATGCACTCACCTCCCGGGAGCAGCTCCTGACCTCAGCAGGTGGCCAGAGAAGGGGCCACAGTGATGGGCTTTTCCAGCCTCCAAGTGACCACTCGGATCTCTCCTGACGCCTTTCAGCCGCCTCTTAAACTGCCCCCAGTGCCGTGGGAGGGTCAGGGGCATAGATCTGGCCTGTTCCGGTTCACAGACATTGCCCCGATGTTTCCTGGGGCAGCCTGTGAAGGTGCACGGTGTCTCACGAGACAGGTGTCCCTGTGTCTGTGCCTCCACTTCATGTCACACACGGAGTGAATGTGCATGACAGCCCGGCCATAGGCTTCAGATGGGCTCACACGCCTGTGCAGGCATGTCGCACACATGCTTCTGGCCTCGGCACTCACGCTCCGTGCGCACGTGTGCCCGTGCACAGTTGGCTCTGCCCGACTTCTGGGCTGAAGACTTGCTTGCACACCAGCACCCGCACACACACCTCTGTGGACGTGCGTGTTCACAGGCGGGCCGGTATTCAAAATATGTGGTGGTGGGTTCGGTGTCGGCCCCAGCCAGTCACATGGAGACCGGCCGGGCCAGCAGTGTGCACCGCTGAAGGACCCGCCCTGTTAACGTGTGTGTTTCTCTGTGGCCCACCCTCCCTCTTCCACCAGCGACCTGAAGCCCTTCACAGCCAGACTGGCAGATTACCTGGTGCTGGCCAAGGTCCGCCAGGCGCTGGGCTTAGCCAAGTGTCAGAAGTGCTTCTACGGAGCCGCCCCGATGACTATAGAGACACAGCACTTCTTCCTGGGCCTCGACATCCGCCTGTACTCGTGCTACGGCCTCAGTGAGACCTCGGGCCCCCACTTCATATCCAGCCCCTGCAACTACCGGATGGGCAGGTGCGTCTGGGGCAGTGTCCGAGCGCCCACTCCCTTGTCACACCCCTCAGCGCCGCCTGCTGACTGGCCCCAGAGCCTGGGCCCCTGGCCAGGCCTCAGTCCCGCGGCGCGGGTCCCTGCCGGTGTCCCGCGGCCTGTGGCGGGAAGCCGACTGACGGCCCCGGGATCCAGGAGCAGGGCTCTGACGGAGGGGTCCCCCTTCGTAGCCCCTTCCGTGGGGAGGGTGTGACAAGTGCCCCAGCATCACTGATGGCCCCCAGGGGGCGTCTGACCCCAGGGGGCGTCTGACCCCAGGGGGCGCCGCTCGGGGTCAGAGTGCAGGGGTAGGCCAGCCTTCGGGGGGCAGAGGGGACAGTCCGGTCTGCGGGTGAGTCGAAGGACCCTCTGTTGGGCTTAAATACCCCCCTCCCTGCTCTCCTGTCACAGAGCCTCAGGTTGTCCCCTTAGGGACGCCCGTGCGTGCATCCGTCCCCTGGGACCTCCCGACTGGCGGCTCCCCTCGCTCCTGGGCCCCTGCTGAGACAGAAGGGCCCGGGAGGGGCACCTCGTGGCATCGGTGGAAACAGAGGCTGGGGATCCCGGACTCTCGGGGGGCTGACCCGGGGCTAGAGGAACGGGCCCCTCTGACCAGGCCCCCGGCCCCCACCCCAGCTCCGGCAAGGTGCTGCCCGGCTGCCGGGTGAAGGTCGTGAACCGGGACGCGGACGGCACCGGCGAGATCTGCGTGTGGGGCCGCAACGTCTTCATGGGCTACCTGAACATGGAGGACAGGACGCGCGAGGCCATCGACGCCGACGGCTGGCTGCACACCGGCGACCTCGGCCGCCTGGACGCTGACGGCTTCCTCTACATCACAGGACGACTGAAAGGTGGGGGAGGGGCCCCGGGTGCCAGCACCCGCGTGCGCGGCGAGCAGGGAGCCCTCGGGCGCTGCCACCTGGAGGGCCGGCCGCTGTCCTCGCCCTTGGCTCCCGTGGGGCAGACGCGATCATTTATCAGCTCCGGTCACTGAGGAGGGCGCCCGGCCGTCTGAGGGCTCCCAGCCGGCAGATGGTGCAGCTGGGCTCAGACTCCTGGGCGAGCAAAGCCAGTGTTCCCAGAAGATGTAAAGGTGTGAATGGGTGTTTCCACACGAAACGTGGGTACGACGTGTAGAACACAACTTGGATGTGGAACTTTAGGACATGAGACTTGCAGGAAGTTTCTCACGAAGAACTCGGCTTTCCCAGGGAGTGAGCTGGGACTCCTGTGCAGAAAGGGGGCTTTCTGACTCCTCCCCGGGACCTGATGGCCACCTGGCCAGGTGTCTTGCTCCATTCTGTGTCAAGGCCAACACAGGACCTGTGCGCAGAGTGGGAGCAGCTCGTCTCTCCCGAGTCAGACGGACTCGGGGCAGGAGCACAGCGCAGCTGCGTCGGTCAGGCCGTGTGCACGGAGTGCCCCGGCGTTGCCGTCCAGCCTGGACGTAAGCCGGCACTCTGCGACGAGCAGGCCGCTGGGCTGAGGGCCTGGCCCGGGCCCTGCACACGGGCACCCAGCACGCATGCGGGTGAAAGGGCGGGCCGTGGACGGGCGGGCGCGGGAGAGCCGGAGGGAGCGGAGTTCTTGCGGAGAGGAGCGTCGCGCAGGCTTCTGGAAGGAGGCGGCCCGTTAGGAGGAGAGGACGGGGCGTCCCCGCGGGCAGGTGTCAGCAAGGGGAGAGGCTCCGGGGCGGGGGAGGCGCCGTGCCGCCCTTGCCCCAGCCCTGCGGTTGGCCGTCTCCCTGTCAGAAACGGGAAGAGTGCCTGCCTCTGTGCAGGCCTGCAGCGAGGCTTGAGTGAGTCGTCACACGTGGCACTTAGCAGAGTCCGCCCGCGGTGCCTGCTGTGCGAGGGGCAGGGCGTGGCCACGCAACAGAGGTGCGGTGGGGGGGTGATTCGGGGCTGAGGGGGAGGGTCAGCGAGCACCCGGGTCTGGTAGGTGTGGGAGCAGGCGGAGAGCCTTGGCCGGTGAGCACAGGGGAGTGAGCCCCGGGGGCTGCCCCCGTCCCAGCAGGTGTGAGGGAGGGGCTTCTGAGGGTGCTGCTGCTCCACCGCCACAGAGGGGCACCTCTGGCCTCCCCACATGGCCAACAGTGCTGCCCACGGCTCTGGCCTCCGGGCTGTGGCCCAGGCTTGTGTCCATGTTCATCCGGGGCCTGGCCTTGCCTCCCCAGAGCTCATCATCACGGCCGGCGGGGAGAACGTGCCCCCGGTGCCCATCGAGGAGGCTGTGAAGGCTGAGCTGCCCATCGTCAGCAGTGCCATGCTGATCGGGGACCAGAGGAAGTTCCTGTCCATGCTGCTCACCTTGAAGGTGTGTCTGTGGGTCTGTCCCAAGTGAAGCCACGTTCAGACAGGACACGCCTGGGTGTCAGGACTTCGTCCTGGGGCAGGCAGTGCTGTGGCACTGAGGGGCAGCCGCCCTGGGGGGACGCGCCTGCTGCCCCGGCCGGCACGATCAGCAGCCCGCTGCCAGGACAGGCTGTGTCTCCTAGCATGGCCTGCTCAGCAGGAGCACAGCCTGTGGGGCAGCACTCGGGGTGTCGTTGCCTGGGGTGCAAGTCTCAGGCCTCTGCTCTTTCTGCCGCAGTCGGGCGGCGGTCGCTCTCCAGAACCACAGCTCGCACGGTCCACCTGCTGGACAGCAGCAGGCATGCTCCTCCGAGCCCAGGCCGCATCCTGAGCAGTGGGGCGTGGACCTGACCCCATCTCTGGTCCGCAGTGCGCTCTGGACCCGGACACCTCTGACCCGACCGACCAGCTGACCGAGCAAGCCGTGGAGTTCTGCCAGCGCGTGGGCAGCCATGCCACCACGGTGTCCGAGATCGTGGAGAGCCAGGACAAGGCCGTGTACCGGGCCATCGAAGAGGGCATCCAGAGGGTGAACGGCCGGGCGGCCGCCCGCCCCTACCACATCCACAAGTGGGCCATTCTCGAGAGGGACTTCTCCATCTCGGGCGGAGAGCTGGGTAGGTTTGCGCCGGCTCCCTTCCCCGGGGCCCAGGTGCAGTGTGGGAAGACGGGGCCGGGGCAGGCCTGGGAGCGGCGCGTCCAGAAGCAGCCGTGGCCAGTGGAGGTCCCTGGCGGCCCTTCCCTCGGGGGGGCACTGCCCAGGGTGCGGGCTGTGCTGCTGTGTGTCCTTGTGAACACACGACGTGTGACTTTGACTCTGGGGCCACCGTCCCCTGAGATCACCGTGGGGCCACCTGCAGACACTGAGGCCGTGCTGGCGGTTGGGGTGGAGCCGCATGGCTCTAGGGGGCGAGGCCACCCTGACCTCCTGTGATGTCACCTCATCTGGTGGCAGGGACTGGTAAAGCCCTTCTGGACCATGGCCCACAGAACCAGAGGGACTCCGGCGTGGCCTCAGCCGGGGGCGTGGAGTCTCTCGTGGCAGCTTGGGGTGTTTTCACGGCCCAGGGGGAGTGGCCTGGCCTGGCTCCCCGGACCGCTCGAGGCTGACCCCAGATGCAGCAACACTGAGCTGCTGTCAGGTCTGGAGCGTCAGCCAGACGCAGGTGACTCTGACCCCGAGCTCTCCAGTGCAGAGTGAGCTAGCGCAAGCTGAACTCTCCGCCGCCCAGCACCTCGGGTCTGAGCCGTGTGCACCCTTGCTTCTGAGGGAGAGCCGAGGCCCCCCAGCCAGGCACCCCCGCCCCGTCCCAGGCAGTCAGAGAGCACAGTGTCCAGTGGCACACACGCTTCCCGGGTGCAGGCGTGATGTGCACATCGGTTACTGTTGTGTAGCACAGTACCCCCACGTTTAGCGGCTGCAATCAGTGAGCACCTCTCCTAATTCCTGTGGTCAGAAATCCAGGCAGCTAAGCTGGGTGGTTCCCGTTCGGGGTCTCTCAGGTCACAGCAAGCACTGGCTGGGCAGCAGCCCCCTGGAGCTCGAGGGGCTCCGTGTCCGTGGCTGTTGGCCAGACCGGAGACCCCGTGACAGCTGCCTGTGTGCTCACAGCACAGCAGCCGCCGTGCCCCAGAAGCGGCGGTCCTCAGCACCCAGGGCAGAGCCATATATAGTCTTGCGGTTTGCGTTGTTTGAGTCATTTCTTCATTCAAAGGACAGCACAGAAAATGCATCGAGGTCGGAAATGGGTGCAGGTCAAGGGTGAGGTGGAGGTGGCTCACGTCACCCCACCCCTGAGAGCAGCTGGCCTGCCGTGACCATTCTCGGAAGTGACAGACAGACGCCACTGCTGTGCTCTGCTGGCACTGCGACCCGTGCCAGTGGAGGGGTCGTGTGCAGCCAGCTCGGAGGCCAGCCGCCCATTCGTCCAGCCTATCCCAGACAGAGCTGCAGGGCTCAGCGAGCCTGGCTCTGACCACACGCCGCAGAGTTCTCGGAGGCCTCGTGCGCTCACGCTTTCCGATCCGCTTTAGGTCCCACGATGAAGCTGAAGCGGCTCACGGTTCTGGAGAAGTATAAAGACATCATCGATTCCTTCTACCAAGAGCAAAATAAGTAACGGGAGGGCCTCCTCCTCCCTCCGGAAGCCTACGGGCCTCTGGAGGGACCTGGTGCACGTCCTCTTCAGGACGGGTGCAGGGACTTCCGGCAGGCCTGTTGGGTCTCGGGCCAGGTGTGGCCCGGCGCCTGCGTGTGCCAGGTCTCACGCCAACAGCGGCCAGCGACTCCGAGCAGCTTCACGTGCACGTAGTTTCAGTGCCGCTTTTTGTTCAGGGGACAGGAGACCAGCTCGGCTTCCAGAACTGAAGGGCTGACACTTCACGGCTTTAGTTCCAGGTAGAATTTATGGGCCGGGAGCTCACTGAGCAGCGCGCCAGCGGCTGGCTGTGTGGAGGGAGGGGAAGTCGGCTCGTGTTACTGCAGGTGCCACCGGGACAGTGGCTGTCACTCACTCACTCTGGAACGTGCCGGACGGGCCACCGGCCAGTCCACACCCAGGCTGTCCCCAACACGCGCCTACTGACCTGCTGCTCCGTAGGACAGCTGCTGCCGGCTTGTATTTAACGCGTGATCTGGATATTAAACTTTTTAACGACCGTCAACCAGTACGTGACTTTTCTTGTCGGTTGAGCAGGCAGGACCAGCGCCGCCAGTGGCGGGCGTTTACCTGCAGGGCTGTGCACCACAGGCACGGGAGGGACCGTGGGCCCCCGGGGAAGCAGAGGCGCCTAGCGCGGGGCTGAGCCCCGGACCCCGAGAGCACACATCTCAGTCAGCTCTGGAATTCTTTATTAGTGTGAACACAAGAATAATTCACAAATTTCAACAAAACAGAGGAAGCAACAGCTGAAACAGTGAAACACACGTGAGATTGTAAGTCTGGTTACAAGCCTTAAAAAGCAGCCAGGCAGGGATACCTGTCCTTAAGGTATCCTGTGACCCGGGCCCATTATGCAAAGCCTCAGGTTTGTGTCGTTACACGAGGAGCAAGGGACAAGGTGGGTTGCCTTTGGTTTGGGGCCAAAGGGTGCCTCTTCGTGAAAACAGTGACTCGGCGCCTGAGGGTGCAGAAGAACCATGCTGGGGGAGCGGCGCCTGAGGGCCGAGGCTGAGCCCAGGGCCCTGCTGCTGGGCTGTGACCCGGCTCAGGTGTCTGCTGTCTGCAACCTGGCCTCTCCCTGGGGGTGCTCCGGGGCAGGGAGGGCAGCCTCTGAAACACAAATAGTGTGGTCAGCCTCTCAGCAGGACCGGCTGGAGGGGGACACGTGCTGCGGAAGGGTGACCGCACACAGGTCAGCTGCCACGCCCGACTGTCAGGTGGGGCCTCCGAGGCTGTTACCCATGATGCTTAGTGTGTGTCCAGTGAGAAGGAAGTTCGGCCCTTCACTTCATGAAAGGCTCAAGGTAACAAAATAATTCAATGTAGCTGTGTCTTTGTAGCCACCGTATCACTATATCTTAGTAACAAAAGTTACCTCTCGTATTTCTTGGATTTGAAGTCTTTATTCATAGTCAGTAATTCATATAAAGGACAGATCTGTGTTAGTTTTCCGTATCATAAAGAAATACACCGTAGTCACAGTTTGTGATGTGAACTTTCCTAGGAAATTTCTCTGGTGCCCGTTCATTTGATAAGAATGTCATGTTGTGCTATTATGTCAGTATTCTGTTTTATTTCTATTATGTTTTTCATAAACTAATGACAACTTTTTCTTTAGAAAGTTAGATGTTTTCTCTTATTAATGGCGTATCATATTTACAGCTGAGGAAAACGGTTTCAACTGAAGTAAAATGGTTAACAATGGTAAATGATACAGTCCACTTAAGAGCTTACAAAAAATGTATACCAAATAGACATCAATAAATAAAACAAGCACTTGGAAAAGTCCTTGGAAAGCACACCCAGGGGACGTCACCTGCGCCCTTTGCGGACTTGGGTGAAAGGCCAGGCCCAGAGGTGCTCTGTCGGAAGCCAGGAGACCCGGTGCGCTCGGAGTGGAACGTGTTCTCGCTCAGCTCCACGTGGCCTGGGCGGCGGGGAGGGGGGCGGGTGCCATCTGTAAAGTCTTAATCTAAGTCTTTCACTCGGTGACAGATTTCTTGTGTGAAGTCCGAGCATTTTGCATTGCCTCCCAAATCTTTGGTTAAGCTCTGAGAAGAGGAAAAAGCAAAAGTAAAAGTGTGTCTCATAGTACACCAAAGCAAGGATATTTCTGTTTAAAGCGTGTGGTGAGACACCAGCTGAGCAGGCTCCCCGCTGCCGTCTCACTCAGTTCACTTTAAAGCCAGCCCCACTCACCACACCTGCCGACCCCAGGAGGACGGCCGAGTCCCAAGGAAGTGTCTGACTAGGGACATGTGACATCTAAGCAAGGGAATCATAAATCCCATGGGGAATTTCTAAAGTTGAAAAAACCTAAGACATCTTTTGATCTGCTTTTAGAGGCTGGGAAACAAACACTAAGGTAATCTAAATCGCTGACTACTGCACCTCCGTCTACAGACAAGAAATCCTCCCACACAGCCACTCTTTCCCTCCTGGAGGGACTTGTTTCCCTCCAGCTTCTCCTCTCGGCACTCTCAGACAGACCTCCATGTACTGACCTGGTGTCACCGTATCCTGCTTAATTAAAAGGGCCTGCTGTGTAATTGGTACCCCTCTGCTAGGCTATTTGTGAACAGGTTAAATTCACAAATACAGCGTCAGAAAAAAACAACAAATGAAATCATATGCCCTTCAATAGGACTGCTGGGCTGTTGAAAACAGCTGGGGTTTCCTGTAAGAAGTAAGTAGCCACCGCCACCTCCGTGCTCCCTGGGTCAGAGGGCTCCGCCGCACCCCGCTGGGGCCACAGATGCTTACAGAAACGGAGTTTGTTGGGCAAGAGCCAGACTGGGTGAGAACCCCAGCTCTACCACATGAAGCTGTGAGGCCTCTGACAAATTACCTAATCTCTCTGTGCCTCAGTTTTCTCATCTGTAAAACGGAATTCATTATAGGACTTCCTTACAGAGTAATGAAGAAGATTGGCTGAGACGACATATACAAAGACCAGAGGGCGTAAGGACTGGGTTAACATCAGCCATTGCTAAGACTTTATATATTTCTGATGCACGCGGTACAAGTAACACCACGGTGTCGTCACAGACACCACTGCGTCTGTGTCTGCTGCTGGCTCCGGAGCTCCTGGAGGCCAGGACCTCATCCTATTCCTCAGTTTCTTTATGCTTCACACCTTGAAAGGTACACAATAGACTTGTTGGGAGGAGAAAAAAGCCGCATAGACAAAGGTGAGGGCCTTGGCCACGATCACATTGCCAGCCATGCGTCACCTGGGTCCCGACCGGCTCTGACTGTGAAACCTCTGCTCTCCCCACGGCTCACTCCCTGCTTCTCAGCCCTCTCCGGTGAAACACGTGGAGCCTCCCTTCAGGAAACATGCGCACACACATGTGCACCGCCCCCGGGTTCACTTGGGTCCCACGCGGAGAAAGCCTGTGTGGCACCAGGCAGCTCCCTCCCGGGAGAAACCACAGGAGACACGCGGGAGCACAGCACCGCTACGGTACCTTCCCGTCCTTAATGGTGGCGAAGCAGGCCGCCTCGATCTTCGCAGCGTGCTCGAACAGCCCCATGTGGCGAAGCATCATCACCGCGCTGAGCAGCAGGGCCGTGGGGTTGGCCATGTCCTTGCCGGCGATGTCCGGGGCCGTCCCGTGAACCTGCCTCGGGGAAACGCGGCGCAGTCAGGGGCGCGGGGCTCTTGGCCCTCTCTCCTGACCCGCGGACGCAGTCGCTCAGCAGCCGCTGCGCCCAGCTCATCAGACACGGGTCTAGCAACAAAGTTGCAGAAGAATGAAGGGCAAAAGTGATTGTTTCAAGAAACTGCAAAATTATGGACTACCTTTCCCTGTCAACTTCCAGTGAAATACTTCAACTGAGGAAGTTTAAATATTAAGGATACAACAGGGGAATGAATGAACCACACTTATATTAAAAAAAAAAAACTCACTGTATTAAAAAAAACATGATCTTCTTTTGACAACTGGAAAAACACAAAAGTTTGAACACATTTGTGCAGATCACCCCTCCTGGGTTCTCATGCCATTCTGGCCCCATTCCTGCTTTGCGTGTCAGCAGGGTCCTTACCGACTCGAAGATCGCGACCCCGTTGGCGCCAATGTTGCCACTTGGTGTCACGCCGAGACCTCCAATCAATCCCGCACACAGGTCGCTGGGGGCAAAGAACGTCAGGAGTGTGGGTTTGAAAACTAAAATGTCTCACCCAGCACCCAGACTTCCACTTTTAAATATCGTTCTCCACTGAAAGGAACCAGGGTTCCTTGGAGAAATGGCCATCTCAGGACTAGGGTAGGAACATCGGGATGATCCTGGAGCGTGTGACCGTGCCAGGCGGCAAGCAACAGCTCAGAGGGACTCGCCTGGCCAGGCCCAGACGTCTCCACGTGCACGATGGTGATGGTAATGCTGAACAAGAAAAATGAGTCCTAACTGATTGACACAGATATGTCAATTTGTACACATGGAACAAAGAAAAGTTCATCCCACAGAACACCCAAGTAAGGAATGTAAGAAGGAATGACGGACTCAGAAAATCACCACTTGGCCAACACCACGAGTGTGAGTGTGTAAAAAGAGGGAGAAATACAGTAAAAGTAAAATGTTGACATCTGGGGAATATAGGTTCTGAGTACACAGGAATTCTGTGTGCCATTCTTGCTACTTTTCTGTAAGTCTGAAATTATGTCAAAAGTTACAAAAATGACTACCCACCTCCTCAGTGATATAGAAAACATCGAGGTCAATCAATCAACCAGCCAACCAATAAAACACAGGAAGACTGTGCAGCAGAACCCGCGATCAGGGAGCAATGGCCAGGAGCCGAGATGGCGCAGAAATGGGGAGCAGCCCACCCATGTGTAATCACAAGACTGCCCCCAAACTGTTGCAGCTCAGCTCACGTCCTACAGCAAACAGGATTCATTTTGGGACCTTTATAAAAAAAAACACTACAGGCTACAAGGGTGCAACCAGACTTACCTCAGGATGTCTCCATACAAATTTGGCATAACAAGAACATCGAACTGGGATGGGTCTTGGACCATCTACAAGAAACACATGTGTGCATTCAGCAATCAAACCTGTGCAGCAGACAGACACACTGCACGCCGCAGAAAGGAGTAGGCCAGCAGGAATGCATACTTACATTCAAACATACTGTGTCGAGGTACATCTCGTTAAATTTAATGTCTTTACAGTTCTCTGCAACTTCCCTGCATTTCTGCAGAAAAAGCCCATCTGACATTCGCCTGTATTTAATCAAATAAAAACATTGAAAGCAATGTTTTCACTGTAACATTGTAGCAATGTAACACTGAAGCATTAAATTGTTGAAAGCAAAAACTTGCAGAAAGAAAAGCATCAAATCAGAGAAATAGTCAATTTCGAAAGCCAAGATGTGTGATTTCAGTTACAGTAAAATTATATTTTAGGAAGTGGTGTTACCCAATAAGAATTAAAATACGTATGTATTTATAAGAAAATGCTAAAATCACTTTAAAAGATTAACAGAATTATTTGAATGGTTTGACTCTTTTACATGCTCAACACTGTCTTAG